AGTCGCCAGTCGGCACTGACTGGCGGATGGAATTCGGAGGGGGCCAACTCTGTGCGATCTGATGGGACGCAGGGAGGTAATTGGCAGGAGGCGGTCTCTCAGATAGCCAGATCCAAAATAGATTTGAACTATCATTTTTCTAGGTTCCTACAGAAAAGATCTAGAATTTAGAAGTTGCTTAGAATTTTTGGAATGCATTGGTTAAAGAAAACATATAATATTACATATAATATTGTAGCTACCATTGTTCACCTTGTGAACAAATGATATATCAGGTGAAATGAATACAAAATAGTCATCATTATGCATGGAGAATCTTTTAGGAGAATAATCATTTGTAAATTTACAAGACAAATCGTGACAATGTTATAGTGCAATAAAGGTATTTCCTTAGTGTGGTGGCTGAGCACATATCTAATAGTTTACTATAGATGCCATTAAGCTTTGATCATACTAATAGCAGGGACATTAGTATTTTCCTTTTATAAATAGAACAAATCTGCAGCCTATTTTAGGGACTGGATGATCCTTGGAAATTTATGCAGACAGTTGCATAGTGATGATTGCCAAAAACTATTTTTCCCACTTTTATAAACAAAAGAAAAATTTACTGTCCAGTATATGTAAAGGAAAGAGTTATTCCTATTGTATGCATTTTTCGTTATAGACTTGTTTCAGTTTTAAAACTTCTGGTTTAATATGCCATGTTTTAAGTCCATGCCTGTCATATCTCTTCGGGTGCTCATTTTGATACTTTTTGTTTCCTTAGGCAGAAGGTTTATGTAACAGTTTAATGATGTATGTTTGGAATAAATATGCAAATTGAACATATTTTTAGTCTGAGATATTTAAAGTATCAAAATATGGAGAAAAGATAGGCATACCTGTACAAAGCTCTATGCTTATTTACAATACACTATAATTTATTAAAACAGAAACATCCTCAAATTTGTCCTGTCTTTGGTTGGGATATTATTTGATAATGCATTTAATTTATTTTTTTAATAAAATCATATTCAAGCAAGTATTTACTCTAAACATTTTCAGATGTTCCACTGATTTGTTTTTATTGGTATGGGCTATCTATTTATCATTTATATTTTTATTAAATTTACATTCCGTCTTTCATTCAGGAGCTTATTGTCAATATAATTTCTATTCAGAGACACGGATATTTGTACTTGGATGCCTATTCTATTTTGTGCATACTTTGCACTGATAAGAGTTGGGGACAAAAAGCTGTCTCAATAGGTGTAGTTTTTTTTTTTTTAATGAAGGATTATATATTGTCAACTTCCAGTGGAGGCATGGCAAGCTAAATACATCTCTGTGGAGAGTGAAGATAACAACCACGGCAAAGACCAAAGAACCGGTGAGTAGCCCAGTTCTTTGGAACCTGTCCAGATAAGAAGACTGGAGATCATTCATGTGATTTGGATGGTGTGTCTTTGTGAGGAGACTGCAAGATAGTAGTCTCTAATGGGTCTGACTGCCAAGAAACGAAGGAATTAATCATCAAGCTCACAAGCACAGTTGACACCCTTTAAAGATATTAAATTTGCTAACCTCACTTCTAATCACATTTGGAAATTGCTTCTTGAAATATTTTAAGAAATGTTCAGTCTAAAAAGTTACCTGGTGAGTTTATTTCTAAACAAAAGAAAAGTTAACTCAGGTTGAGAATCTAAACAGTTTGAAATAAATGGATTTTCGTGAGAACCAGAATTATTATGACTACTTCCAGTTATAACAAAGATAATAAATCTTTTGATTTAAATTAGATATCAGAGGGGATAAAAGTTCAGAAAAAAAGAAAAAAACTTGCCTTTAAGATTGTGATTTACAGATTGACACAAAATACTATAATAATTGAAATATTAAATGAGATATTTGAAATACAGGGCTAAAAGTTAGTAACGACAATATCAGTTAATAAAGTCTGCTTCTAAGGATTGAGTTTGTCTAAAAGATGTTGATGAAGGAATGACACGTGAAAAAACTTGTTTAATGAGTAATAGTGGAATCAGAAATAATGAATTTAANGTTTTAATATCTTCAATGAAAGTACTGAGACATAGAGAGCGGTTAGACAGAGTGACTTGTCTTGCCCCGGTTAGGATTTTTTAAGCAAATCCACTGCGTTTTCAACATGAAGCCAAAATCGGGACTTTTTTAAAACGACGCGGGACAAATTGTTAGAAATCGTGACTGTCCCGCCGAAAGCGGGACGTCTGGTCACTTTATATATAATTCTTGTATTGTGTGTTGTAGAATACTCCTTTTTCTTCTGGGGCTGTTGTTGTTTTGTTTACTTAGAATATTTTGGAGAGTTTTAGTTGGTTTATATGCTTCCCTGTGATGCCATATGGTCAGAACAGTTTGATTTTTATCTTTTCTTTGTACCTTTATGAATTAAATGTGTTTAAATGTTAAAGGTTCAGAGGCTGTGTTAAATGTTTCAGTTTTCAGGTCCTTGAGCTGTGCAGTCCTGTGTTAAGGCAACTATGTTCTAGTTTATATATAGTAGTATATGTAAATCATTATACTTGATACAAGAAATATATCATAGACAGATTAAGTAAAGTTGGAATGAATTGGGACTGACATGGATAAAGCTAGTCTGGTTTTGAATTTTGTTTTTATTTAATGTCTACATTGCATTAGGAATAGTAGCTATGACAGAAATTGGAGCTAACTTTGAAAACTCAGATCCTCTCTTAAAATAATCTCATGTACCAAAGGAATGCTAGCCTTATCTTTTAGAGACATATATGGGTTGTGAGTGCCGTGCAAAAGATATAGGAAGATAGCACATGCTATTTTGGAAAGGAAATATTCCAATTTTACACTGAACATGTGTGTGTATATACAAAATGAATTACAGTATTGTGTCATATTGTTTCACAACAAAGTGTGATAACAGGAAAGACTATAATTAGGTATTTTTGAGAAAGCAATATGATAATAAATATACTACAAATCTGTTTTTGTAATCTTATTTTGGGGGATTTTTAGCTGCTTGGAGTTGACTTGGTAAATTAGGAAGAATTATCACCCATGACAAATATCATTGCTTTTAGATTCATTCTCATTGTTTTATTCCACAAATTACTTATCACAGTTACATAAGTTGAAATTAAAATTTTAGATTTAGATTTTATTGAACATTTATATGCCGCCCTTTTCCCTGAGGGGACTCAGGGCGGCTTACAACAATGGGGGGAGGGAGTGCAAGACAAGACTTAAAAGAAAAAGAAAAAACGTGAGTAAAAAAAAAATTAACCATAAAAACACAACATTCACT